TGCAAGTGTCACCAACGAGGCTGCAGATGTTGCACCTGAAGTAGGGGGACCTTCTTTCCGCCCATCTGATGACACGAAGAAGACATATGAANAGAGTCAAACCTCAAGACCAAAATCAAGAATGTGCAGGAGGAAGTAGCCCAGATTCGGAAGGGAAATAAGAAGTTGGAGATGTCTGAAAAGCTTGCAAGTGTCACCAACGAGGCTGCAGATGTTGCACCTGAAGTAGGGGGACCTTCTTTCCGCCCATCTGATGACACGAAGAAGACATATGAAGGAGGGAGCAGCAAATCTGGTGGTGCAGACGATGATGCCTAATGAAAGTAGCTGTCGAATAAGAAAATTATAGTGTCTTGGAATAAAGCATGTTGTTGTCGTGTCTTTGCATGCTCAGTGTCTTGAAATAAAAGTCTGTTGTTGTTGTGTCTTTGCATGCTCAGTGTCTTGAAATAAAGTCTATCGAATAAGAAGATTATAGTGTCCTGAAATAAAGCATGTTGTTGTTGTGTCTTTGCATGCTCAGTGTCTTGAAATAAAGTCGGTCGAATAAGAAAATTATAGTGTCTTGAAATAAAGTCTGTTGTTGTTGTGTCTTTGCATGCTTTCTTGTTGTTGTTTTGGTCAAGCTTGGGTCATGTTTCTTGTTGTTGTGTCTTAAACCTAAATAATGGAATGTTTATTTTGCTAATATATATGGTTCACATGCTTCACTCCTGACACAGAATCCAAGCTAATCTCATTCCATATAATTACCAGTTTCCCACCATGGTTAACTAATTGAATCCTTCTGTAATTATTAGCACGTTTCTTGTACACATCTTTCAAACCATGTATTATTTCCTGCTGCTTTCCATTCCTTGAGTTATACCTCGCCTCTTGTACCCATTTTCCTTCCTTCGGATCATATGCGTAGTTGTTGTTGTTGTTCATGGTGAAAGCGTATAGCCTTCCTCCATAAACTAAACCTTTGTGATCATGATCACTAGGAGGCTTAGGCAATGGCTTCTCCAATTCTGAGTCTTTAGGTCGAAAACCTCACCCCAACTAGTTCTTTTGCATCCTCCTATTACATATATATCTTGTCATCTAAAAAATAAGACCTAGGGTGTCTTCGAGATCCGAGCTAAGACATTCACAATGACATCATCTGGAATTGATGAGAACGATGTCTTCTTTTTTTAGCAAGAGGTGGGGCTATAGGATTATTAGTCATCTCCGCTAGGGTTTCTGTTTCACTAGGATTTTTAGGTCGTTAAAACAACTCTATAAAGAAAAGAAGATTGACCTTTTCCTTGTTGAAAAAGAAAAGGGCTTGTTAGGAATTGAATCCAAACCTTGTGCTTTAGAACAATATGAATCAAACGTATTTCTCATTCAATGTCTAAAAAGAAAGTTTCTCAATAACAATAATAGAGATCACAAGTATGATAAAACCAAACTAAAAACGCTAACAACTTATATTTGTTATGCTCTTGGTCTCTCTCTACTTCTTTGTTATTTGCTTTGTATCGGATGATTGTAACCTTCACCTATGGTCTGGTCTTCTTATATATAGCCTAGGGCTGGGCAAAAAAACCGAAACCCGAAAATCCGAACCGAACCCGACCCGATAAAAAGGAATCCGAACCGATCCGAACCCGACATAAATACCGAATGGATCTCGTTTTACGGTATTTTGGATTATGGGTTTTATCCGAACCGAACCCGAACTTAAATGGATATCCGAAAGAACCCGAAACTTTAAAAATCCAAAAAAACTTATATCATACTCAATCTAAATTTCTAATATGTTTCCAAAACACATTAATATATTATTGAGTACCTATAATAATTAGTTATGATATGAATAATTAACTCAAATATTTAGTCTAATATATAGTGTTATTTGGCTGTTACTAATGTTTATGATTGACATTACATTTGAAGTTAAGTTACGAATAAATTCGTTTTGAAGTTTAAATAATGTTGTTTTTTAAATTTTCAATATTACTTCTTACGTTTATATAATTGTTAGTTGTTAACTTTAACTTTTTATGTTTCATTATGTATGATTTTCGTTCATACAAGACTTTGGTTTATCATTAATCATGATTTGTTTAGTGTTGTCACATATAGTTCAATGACAAATCTTATATTGTTGATAGATGAGTTTCATAATATTATTTAGAAGCAGAACAATACGGTTTGCAGAAGCTAAATACACAGTTTAATAAAAAGATTGAAAATATAGTGAATTTAATTGAATATAAATTAGTATTTTTAGAATCGATAACCCAATAAGTAGCCGAAACCGAAACTATTTTGGGTTCAACTGGATTTTGGACATGTTACTAAATCCGAACCGAACCCGATTAAACCCGAACCGAATCCGACCCGAATTTTTATAATATCCGAATGGAGCTGAAATTCATGAACCCGAAAACCCGAAACCCGAATGAACCCGAACCGAAACCCGATTGGGACCCCGAATGCCCAGCCCTAATATAGCCCATCACATTTTCCTTTTCCTGTATGACTTTGTATAATTTCCTTTTGTCTTTGAGAAAATATTAACCAACCTTTCTCCTGAGAAAAGGAAACTAACGTTTCTTTGGTTTCAAGTGTTAAAGTTGAGGGTTTTCTCGAGTATATGAGTGATTTGGATGCTGGTGTTGATCACATGGAGGATCAAGAGTCTTTTGTTAACGTGCCCCTGATCAACTTTTAATGGCAAAGAGCCAAAGAGACAAAATAACTTGTTCTGTCCAAGTTATTAATAATATTAAACCACTCTTTTATTGTTATTTTTAATCTATAACTAGATTTTGATCCGCGCCTAAGAGTGTGAGTATTTTTTTTTGTTGACCGTAAAGCCAAATATTTCAAAATAGATACTTTGATGGGTTTTGATAGTGTTTTTGAATTTGATTGAGTTGATGGTAAAAAAAATCTGAGATAACTTGTATTTATAAAAGGAGATTGTTGTTGTCAATTTAGATTAAGAGATGATATGAAAGAATATTTAGTAATCAATTTAGGTTTCCCAAAATCATGGTAGAAAATATAAGTAGGTGCAGTTTAGATTTTTTTTGGTTGATATAATTGAGGTAAATTAAATAGTTGGTCGTAATAAATTAACTTATAGATGAAGTAGTTTAGATTTTGACCCGCACTTCTTATATTTTTATCGACCGTAAAGTCAAATATATAATAAATTTATGTCTATTATTAGATATCTATAATATTTAAAATTTGTTCTATTATTTTATTTGAGTTTTGTAAAAATTAAGAAAACGAATATGGTAAAAATATCTTAAAATCAAAAGATTGTTATTAACTCATTGAGAAGCGTGGTTTCTATTTTTTGATTATGCACAAATTGGTACTTAATTTTAAAAAAAATTAAACGGAGTTAAGTTAAGCCAAATTTTATAAATAATCGATCATATCATATATCTCTAGAATCTAAACATAGAAATCAAACCGAGAACCAAATGGATACTTAATTTTTTTATATAGAAATTATATACCTACAAATATTAATTATATATAATATTTAAATACTAAATAACCTAAAATACTATTTTAAACCAAATTAGACAAATCAATGAATTATCTGAATATTTTTATTAAAAATAATCTACCTATCTGATATTTAAATCGTAGGCTAGTTTACATTTAAAATTAAAAAAAAATATATCATGTAAAATAAATAAACATATCTTATTTAAATCAATTTTTTGACCAATTTAGAATCTCCAACTTTTAATGTTTAGACCCATTTAATTTTTATATATTATAAAATTAATCATTTAGTTCTTCTATTGGAATGTAATATCAAAATTTAATAATTGATTGCATATAATTAATTAAACCAAAGTTTCATAGTTATAGTATCATGAATATTTATTGTTAAAAAAAATTATAATAGATTATGGAAAGTAATACATGAGTTTATTTAAATTGTAAGGTATTTATATAGTTAGAGAAATATAAGAGAATATCAAAAAAAAGTTTGTCTAATGAAAGGGTCCAAAACAATTTTTTTAAGTAGATTTATTTTGACTCCTTCTCTTTTGATAGTATAGATAGATAATAAAGTCTACAATTAAATGTTTATCTTTAAAAATAAAAAAAGATAGTGCAATACATTAAATATACTCCTGTTTTTTTTTCTAAAATATACTCATGTTCTGTCCAGCTTATAACTAAACCTCTCTCGTCCTCTTTTCTCTTGTCTACTGCTTTGCTTTCTTGCACTTCGTTTTTGGTGTGTGTGGAAGAGAAAAGAGGACGAGCATGATTGTCTTCTACCTTTGACCCATTGCAATCTTTTTAACATTGTTATAATGCTTACTCAATGATTCCTTAGAAAAATGTTTGTGATTTTGAAATTTTACATAAGCTTGCCGCTCTGTTGATATCTTTAAAACGGCTTTGTATGTTTGTATAAACAAAACAATAAGATTTATGTGTCACTATGCCACAACGGCTTAGAGTACCATTACAATGGTAAACTGATAGATTGATTCTCTTTTGAGTTATGTATTGCACTGAGTCAGATATTACAACACAATACAACCTCTAATCTTAATTCTTTTGTATAAGAGCTAGATGTCCAAAGTTGTCAAATCATATGGCTAACAATTTTGGAAAGCTCTGATTTTCTGGGCATAGTTAGGTGATTCCGTTTTAATCATCATTACCCACTTAAGTACAGAAAAGAGGTTAGAGTGAATGAAACTTTAAAATTAGGTGAATATTAAGACCTAAGCACAGTGTGGTAAACTGGTAAGTGAGCATTATAATGTGTTAAAGTGGTTGGTGGCTAATCTCTGTTACCAACTATTATTCTCCGAGATGTGGACAGGACATTTGCTAGTAGTTAACACGTAACACTACAACTCAAAGAAGCTTCAGTTTTTGTGTCCTATATATAAGATTACAAGTGCATGTCTATATTTCAACATCTCAAACTAAAAGCGAGGGCAAGAAAAATTGAGTGATCAAGAGTCATACATACCTCATTTCTCAAGACCCAAATCATAAAAGATGGATGAGAAGGAACTAGACCAAACGCGTAAGATAATTAAGGAGTTGATGAAAGCACTAGAAGCGACGGGCATGGCAAGAGAAGCTGTGGCTGTAGAGTCATACCTCAAGACCAAAATCAAAAACATAAGGGAGGAGAAAGGAGACAATATTCGGAAGGTAAATAAGGAGTTGGAGATGGATCAGCTCGCGTCCCAACTCCGTAATGGTGAACGTAGCCACGCTGACCTTTCCCTAACCGAGAATGAAGATTTTCTACAATATACTGAGGAGAGGATTGCATGTTTAAAAATACTGAGAGATGTGCTACAGCGACATCCTGATGATGCAAACGAGCCAATTCTTGGGGATGATGATGATAATATCGCAAAGGCTTCTGCACCTGAAGGAGGGGGCAGCAAATCTGGTGGTGGTGGTGGTGCGGACGATGATGCATAATGAAGCAGCTAGCCGTACGTCGAATAAGAAACTTAATTATTGTGTCTTGAAATAAAGTTTGTTGTCTGTGTCTTTGCATGCATGCTCATTTCATATTTTCTAGTCTTTTCTTGTTGTTTTGGTCTCATGTTTCTTGTTGTTGTGTCTTAAATCTAAATAATGGAATGTTTATTTGCGTCACATCTCTTGTTTTACATATAAGTTTTTGACTATTTGGTACTAGCAAAATATTCAGACATTATTACTATTCGTGATTGAAATTTATATCATTTAGGATACAAGAAACTCATTAAAACAATTGTGTATATCACAACAACAACAACAACAAAATGCAAAATTCAAGGACCTTTTCTAACAATCATGTTTATATATAAACATGATGAGTAACGGCTACAGCTAAGTTACTTGCTTACTACATAGAAGAATACATCTTCATGTTCCCCAGCTTATTCGTTGATGGATTACTAAGACGAAGAATCTAACAAAGTTAATGTTTAATAGTCTCTCCTGCTTTTTGTGTTGTGTCCATATGAATATTTTTGTACAGCTGAGTAAAATCACTCTCTAGGCCGAGCAAGCCATAAGGAGCTAAGAGCTCGTAGCCTCGAGGAGTAATCATGAATCGCAAGTAATGCACGCGCTGACTGTCTCGTTGTTAATACTCTTATCATCTGTTGCAATGTCTGTAGTCTCAAATTATCAGCCTGCCACCACCACCAAAGATCATAAGAAACAAGTTTCTCAACAACATTTCAAACAACAAATAACTGTAGATTTTTTTTTTTTGTTTGTACCTGACGGATAAATCCTTCAAGTGTACCTAACTTCCCCATAGCCATGGCCATCTGACCCATGTAGCTAGCAACATTCCCTGATGTGCTTGAACCAAGAGTCCCACTAGACAAAGTATCCGCCAACGACTGTTGTAAGCTCTCCATCCCTTGAGACAAAGCATCTTCAGCTTGCTGTGATGTCTCTTGCAAGCTATTTATTCCCATCACCTGTCTCTCTGTCATTGGCTCCAACTGATTCGCCAGAAGCTTGAGAATCTCTGATGAACGGAAGCCACCAAGCCACAAGAAACATCTCTCAGCTGGTGTTTTCCACATACCGTATAGCAAGTGAAAGACATCGTTCTTAGCTGCATTGCTCTTTATCCTGAAAAGCTCCTCATAGTGAGCCATCACACCATCTACTATTATTCGAAGCTCACCATCACCTGCATGCGCGTTTAGAGCAGACCTCAGCTCGTTCATTCTCTTGCTCTTTTCTTCCAGCCACCTTGAGTATTCAGCATCAAACGCCAATGCCCCTGAAAGATAAAGAAAAAAAGTTATACACATTATCAGAAGCCAAATAAATAAAACAACTAATGGAGAATAAGGAACCAACCATTTCCACCAGTGGAATGGGCTTGGTCTCCGGTGCTTGAAATGAAGACACCCTATGAGCGAGAAAATAATTCATTTATCTAAACAGAATCAAAAAAGTTTAATATTTATAAAAGAGAAAAGAAAACGAAGTTGAACCTGTTGTCTTGCTCTTTGAAGCTCCTGCTCAAGCTGGGTAAGTTTCAAGCGGCTGTTCTCCAGCTGCTGAACATAAGCCTATGGAAAGAGCAATTAAAAGTACTTAGGGTACTAGTACACAGCTATTTATCTAAGGATGCACCATTTCAGAAAAAAAGACAAAGAAACAAAGAATCAATGGGAGGTATTACCTTCTTCCTTAGTCTGCTTTTCCTAGCTGCCTCGCGGTTTTGAGCAAGCCTACGAACGGTCTACGGATCAAAATAAAAAAGATTATAAAGTTGGCTCAATAAAAATAGCTTTTTTAATGTATAGAGATGGAGATATCAGTATATCACCTTTTGATCCAACTTGTTTTTGGATCGTTCACTAGAATCAGAAGCAGCAGTGTTCACTAGTGCTCCCTCAGACTGCAATAAATTTAAGAAACATAAGAATTTAATTACTGGTCCATTTGAAATCACACTCTTTTGAAGAAGCATAAGTGAGATAATATTTCACAGGTTATGAGCTAACCCCAAGATCTCTTTCTCCATCTGTTGAGACATCATCGGTTATTGGACTCATATCAGCCATCTTACTTTCTGTACTAACACTTGTTGGCCAAGACAATATCTCACTTGTGTTGTGTCGGCCTCTCTTGCAGTATAAGATTCTTGAGACTTCTCTTGTGTGCACAGATTTATACTATATGAAGAATAAACTGCCAAGATTAAGTAAGAAAATAAGACAAGTCAAAGAAAATTCTAAAATGGCAACATAGTTGTCAGTTATGGACTATAAAGGTCAAAGAAAAAACACTCTCTAGTATAGTGTCTGCTTCTGTTTCAGGTAATCAAGCAAGAAAGAAGAATGCTTGAGAGTCCTTTACTTATTCAACACACAAATAGGCAATTTCTGCTGAGAGCCAAAAGCCTCACAAACTCAAGAACATAAGAACCTTTGTATTTTTTTTTTTTGCTTAACAGACTGATAAAAATAAACCATCAAATGTATGAAAAATCATGTACAGAGGCTAAATAATAAATAGTGGACATCACTTGAATTAAAAGAAACTATAAGCAACAACTAAAAAGAAAAACAAAAGAAGACCCTCTGTGTAGCACACCCTGAGTTACCATTCTACTCCTTAAAAAGACTACCTTTTAAGATAACTCGTTGAGCAGAGCAATAAGACTAAGCCCTATCATCATTTGTAGGTTTCACAGTCTAGAAAGCTGAGAACTAAATATAATCCTAGGATTCAGTGGGAATTAAAAAGGTAGCAAACTTGAAAATGCTTGCGTTTTTAAACTAGCAACACACATAGTTCATTAACGTAGCTAGTGTTCATTCACATCCGAGTTGACTCAATTTCTACTCATTATTCACATCCGAGTAAATTACCAGCAAATTAAGCTGCCTGTATGAAAATTACCACCTAAACATCTCATCTAACTCTATGAAACATAACTAACCGTACATCCAAAAAAGAAGAACCAGAAGCTTTTTCGAAGGTTCTGAAAGTCAACTAAGTTAACTTCAAAGACAAAAGAAAACAAAAAGTTAAAGAGAAGCTTTCTAAATAACTGTGAAACAAAACAGAGAGAAACCCTAGAAAAGGAACTTGGTTTTGAGGAAGAAAGGTCACACCTTGAAAAACACGAAAACCTTTTTTGTGTGCTGCAGAAGAGTCCACTCTGTAAAAGGTTGGCTTTTGTAATCGGATTTGAAACCAGAGAGAGAGAGAGAGGATCCGAATGTCAAATCTCCGACACGTTTTGTCCTAGAAATAATCTCTACCAGTTCCTCCGAGAACCTCTTTTGAGGAATTTAACGGAAATTTTCATAATAAACCCTTTATGTTTTTCTATTTTACCATATAAAACCCCTCTCTCTTCTAATTACAAATACCACCCTCGTTTTGTATATTTAAAAATGAGACAATTAGCTTAATATATATCCAAAGTAGGATTATACGTCATTGCTTTCCTTCTTGACCATTCAGACAAATCCAATAACCATCTGATCTGAATCCAGTTTAAAAAGACTAATAAAAAATACTTAATGCTTATAAAAAAAAGGATTAAATTGAGTAAAAAATAACTAAAAGCTAAAAAGCTTCATCTCACTTCTCAGGTTATGTAAGTGGTACAAGTAGGTAAAAAGTCAGCGTGGCGAAACACACTACCTGACCCAGAAGGTTTCAAACTCGAAAAGGAAACTAAAACTTGTGACAGACAACACTCTGCGCCACGTGGACTAAAATTTATTTTAATGCATTTGTTGACAAAAAGAGTGTTTATTACAATTGTTGTCTTATTCGATAAAATCATTACATTCTCTCTCTCTTTTCTCAAACATTTCAACTTTATTTTACTCATCAATAATGCTTTAACTCTCACTCTCACACTCTCACTCCAATCACTCTCTAAGCAGATCTTTCTTCATTCTCTATCTCTTTAATGGCTACAAGATTCAAGTTTTCAATCTCATTGGCTCTCACATTCTCCTTCTTCTTCTACACAACCTTGTCTTTCACGGAAGACGTTGAACTCGCTTCTCTCCTCAGATTCAAATCCACCATTGATGATCCAAAGAACTCTCTTTCAAGTTGGTCCAACACTTCCTCTTTTCACCACTGTAACTGGACTGGCATCACTTGCACCAAAGCTCCTTCTCTCTACGTCTCTTCTATAAACCTCAAAACCCTAAACCTTTCAGGTGAAATCTCTGACTCTGTTTGTAACCTCCCTTACCTCACTCACCTCGACCTCTCTCAGAACCTCTTCAACCAACCTATCCCACTTCATCTCTCCGCTTGTCTCACTTTAGAGACTTTAAATCTCAGCACTAATCTCATATGGGGAACCATCCCTGATCAGATATCTGAGTTCACTGCATTGCAAGTTCTTGACTTGAGTAGTAACCATGTGGAGGGTAAGATTCCAGAAGGTTTAGGGTTACTAACCAATCTTGAAGTTTTAAACTTGGGGAGTAATCTGTTAACTGGTCTTGTCCCTAATGTGATAGGGAAGTTAAGTGAGCTTGTTGTTCTTGATTTGTCTGAAAATAGTTATTTAGTTAGTGAGATTCCTTCTTCTATTGGGAAGCTAGACAAGCTTGAGGAGCTTCTTTTGCATAGGTCAGGCTTCCATGGAGAGGTTCCAACTTCGTTTGTGGGGTTGAAGAGTTTGAAAGTGTTGGACTTGTGTCTGAACAACCTCACCGGTGGGATCACTAGATCATTAGGGGATTCTCTCAAGAGCTTAGTGTCTCTTGATGTCTCTCAGAACAAGATCACTGGCTCTTTCCCTAGTGGTGTTTGCAGTGGCAAGAGGCTTGTTAGCCTCTCTCTCCATTCAAATTTCTTTGAAGGATCATTGCCTAAGTCCATCGGTGAATGTCTTAGTCTGGAGAGGCTTCAAGTGCAGGAGAATAGATTCTCTGGTGAGTTTCCTGTTGGGTTATGGTCATCACCAAGGATTAAGATTATTAGAGCTGGTAATAATAAATTTACAGGTCAAGTTCCTGAGTCTATCTCTTTGGCTTCTTCATTAGAGCAAGTTGAGATAGATAACAACTCCTTCTCTGGTGAGATCCCACATGGTCTTGGAGTTATCAAGAACTTGTATAAGTTCTCTGCTTCTGAGAATGGGTTTAAAGGAGGATTACCACCAAATTTCTGTGACTCACCTGTTCTTAGCATTGTTAACATCTCTCACAATAGTCTCTCAGGGAAGATCCCAGAGGTTAAAAACTGCAAGAAGCTTGTTTCGTTGTCTCTGGCAGGAAATGCATTTACTGGTGGAATCCCACCATCACTTGCTGAGTTACATGTTCTCACTTATCTTGATCTGTCTGCTAATAAGCTTACTGGTTTGATCCCTCAAGAGTTAGGGAACCTGAAGCTTGCTCTCTTCAACGTGTCGTACAACCGATTATCAGGTGTGGTACCTCACTCTCTGGTCTCTGGCTTACCAGCTTCCTTTCTCCAAGGCAATCCAGGGCTGTGTGGACCTGGTTTACCTCATCCTTCTTGCTCCTCTCATCGGTTTAGCTTCCATAAAGCTTTGTTGTTGCTTCTGATATGTTTTGTACTTGCTCTTGCCACTTCCCTCTTCATGTCATATCGTTATTACCGAAAGAAAGCTCAGTTTAAGAGTACTTGGAGGTCAGAGTTTTATTATCCCCTCAGGTTAACCGAGCAGGAGTTGATGAAAGTTGTGAATGAAAGTAGCCCTTCAGACGTATATGTTCTCAGTTTATCGAGTGGAGAGTTAATAGCTGTGAAGAAGCTTGTGAATTCAAGGAATGTATCATCAAAAGCTCTGAAAGCTGAAGTGAGAACCATAGCGAAGATAAGGCACAAGAACATTATTCGAATTCTTGGTTTTTGTTTCACAGACGAGTTGATCTTCTTGATTTATGAGTACACACATAATGGTAGCTTGTATGATATGCCAAAGCCTGGTGATGATCAGTTGCAGTGGAGCGTTAGGTTGAAGATAGCGTTAGGTGTTGCTCAAGCATTGGCATACATAAGCAAAGACTATGTGCCACACTTGCTTCATAGGAATCTAAAGTCAACAAACATTCTCTTGGACAAAGATTTTGAACCCAAGATCAGTGATTTTGCTCTTGACCAGATTGTTGGAGAATCTGCTTTTCAGTCTCTGATACACACCACCTGCTATACTGCACCAGGTACAATGTCTAGTGATCATACTGATTGTGTCTATACTACTCATGATCTGAAACGCTTGTGTTTTTTTCTTGAATGTATCCAGAAAACAATTACAGCAAGAAAGCAACAGAAGAAATGGATGTTTACAGTTTTGGAGTTGTACTATTAGAACTTGTAACAGGGCAAAGAGCAGAAGAAGAAGGAGCATCTGGAGAATCTCTTGACATAGTGAAGCAGGTAAGGAGGAAGATAAACCTGACAGATGGAGCTGCACAAGTTCTTGACCAAAAGATCTTTTCCAACTCTTGCCAATCAGACATGCTAAAGACCTTAGACATTGCTCTCAACTGCATTGCCGTTGCTGCAGAGAAACGACCTTCACTGGTTCAAGTTATCAAAGCGCTTGAGGGTATAATAAACAACTCTTCAACTGAGAAGCTTCCAGTATCCGCATAAACAATATGCCAAGAGAGACCATTTTATTCGCTCTACTTTTTACTATAAAAAAAATCAAGACAAGTGCAAGATTGTATGTTTTGTTTCAGGAGTGTGTGTGTGAATGTACATCTGATGAGCTTTGGTTTAGATTTCTCCAAGGAGTCTGTATCTTTCGTTAGTGGGAGAGAAACTAAGGTTGTCCTTTTCTTCAACTCCTTTGATGATTTTGTAGTATGGAGGAGATCTTGATGTTTCTGCCTCTTCATTGTTGTTGTTGTATACTATGTTTTGTATCATGGAAACTTTAAGGTTGTCACTGAACTCTGCAACCATATCTGTCAACTGTGCACTAGAAGGAAGACAATACTGAACGGACTTGACTTGTCTAGGAAAGTTTCTAGTTGCATCTCCTGATGAGGCTCTACTCTCATTTATGCTCTGGAAACACAGAAACAACATAGTTTTAGTAAGATAACTTTTCTTCGTATCTAATCACTGAAGGGCTGAGGATGAACCTGTGCGTTGAGCTCCTCAAGAACAGCTCCTGGGACAGGGTATGGGCAGAACTCATCTGGTGTGAAGTTGCATAAGATCCTTTTTATTAAACTCAAGCCAATTGATGGACATACCTGTAAAACCAAGCGACTGTTACTAATCACAACTTAGCAGTACTAAATCATGAAGTATATACATTACCTCATCTCTGGTAGAACTGTCTACAAGCATTTCTTTTGGAAGCATGAGGAGATCACTCAGTTCATTAAGCAAGAGGAAAGGTTTAAATGTCTCATCTCCTCTTTGCATATGTTGCTCCTTGTCCTCATAGTGATCAACATCGATCTCAAAGATGTCTGTAAGCATTCTTGACCAGTATCCAACCTGTTTAAACTTTATGTTAGCTAGCATACATGACTCATGGCTAGTATCATGTACAACTTCGAATGTTTTATGTGAATACCGTGTTTTTTAGTTTTACGCCAGATTCAAAGCTCAAAACACCTGCTGGAATTGGCAGAACTCTTGAGTCACAGATAGGATCAGAGTCAGGGTCAGTTGGTATCTGATGAGCAGACTCACGGAGAATAGCATTGAACATAGACACATCAAGTCTTGCAATGCATTGCTCCATAACCTTTAGTTAGACAGAAAAATGTAAGTTAATTTCAGTAGGACAAAGCACCACCATTCCACTGGAAGAAGAGAAGGAAAAATTAATGTACCATTCTTGTCAATACATGCAAACACCCACATGCTGCTTGAACAGGACAGAGTCTTTCAATAGCCTCCTCAAAAGCTTTTTTCCATAGGTTTACAGAAAAGCTCTCTTGTAACCGGTCACATGTTTCTGGTTTTGAGAAACTCCCCATCATTTCACCCTTTGTTGAGTTTACTCCTTGAGGTCTCATATGAACCAGCATGACCTAAAACGAAGAGTGGGAATCTAAAGCTGTTTAATATCTACATCTTGCTTTCAAGACAAGAAATGATTATATATGGCTTTTTACCTGTGACCATATGGAATCAACAGTTTTTGAGAATAAACATGATTCAACTCTTCTTAGTGCAGCTAACAGAGTTCTTGTATCTGTCCAGTCTTCTTCAAGTGATTTTGATCCATTTAGATTTGTGCCACCAAATTCATGTGAAATGATCTCTCTCAACATGACAGTGTTTGACAACCAGAAAGTTAACCTACACCAAGCAACATAATAAGGTTTATCAGATCATACTGAAGCATGTACACAAGAAGAATAATTGAACATCTATTTTGATTACCTTGGTACATCACTTCCACAGGATTTCAAAACCAAGTACAGACCAGAAACAATGTTTTTGGCTACTGAGGTCAACTTGTTTTCACTCTGACTTTTTCTAGCAAGCGCATAGAGTCTAGAAAGGTCACGTGCAGGTCTATGCAGCTCATGTTCTGAACTCCCATGCTCTGGAAACACAGAGTATAGTGACATCTCAAGAGTAGCCACTTCTCTCAGCTCTTCTTCAAGTTGCTCAACTCGAGATTCCAAGGTCCCAATCTTTTGAGTCAACACTTCATGACTTCTGTCTTCCTTGTCCACAGGTACCACTTCATTGTCACTTTCAGTGTTATTATTCAACGCATCTTCAAACTTGTCATCTTCTTTTGCATCCTCAAAAGGTGTTTCATCCACTTCTTCAGAAGCAAAAGTCTTCTGGTTTGGTGAGCTTCTATAAGAGGAGAGATCAGACAAAGCTTTTGGCTGACTCTTACTGGATCTAACTGTCTTTCTTGCAGTTCCATGAAAGGTATTAGATCGAGATCTAACCGAACCAACATTGGTTCGTACCTTTGATGCTAAGGGTATTATATCCTGAGAGCTTCTGCTCTTGGGAACCCTAGAAGCCCTTTCTGACTTCTTATCTTCAAGGGAAAAAACCTCACCTCCTTGAGAAGAAGACACAGAATCATTGTTTGTATCAGTCCCTGATTCCTCACCGTAGTCCATGAGAGTCTCATCATTACCCCTTGGCTTCTCGTTATTAGCATCGTCCATGTAATGAAGATTGACGTTTTCATAGACTTCAGAAGACTCGGATCCAGTTGTTGAATCATTTAGAGTGAGTGTAGAAGAAGGATCAGAAGCAGTCACATCCAAAACTCTGGAAACAAGCTGAAAAGCATTCAACGGTTTGGTTCCATTGCCTTTACTAGTTCCAGGGCGCTGTTTCTGATCTTTGTTTGCTAAAGTGGAACTGGTTCTTGGCTTTGAGGTGGTTGCAGTTCTTGGCCTCTCGGATCTTTTCATCTCCTTCTACTACCTTAAAATAAAATGAAGATTTACCAAAACAACATCTAAGTAAACCACATTATGCAGCAAAGATCAAGAACATTTATTGTCTTTAAAAAAAATACAGATAACAGATTTGATGGAATCTTGAGAAGCAAGGCAAGAGAACATGACCACCGACTCAAATGTCTGACATTATTATAGCCTGGTCATAACTCGTGACAGCAACACATGTTTCCACATTGTCAAACAAACATTTCATTCATTCATGATTCACATGATTTTCTAAATTATATATAAGAAATATAATACAAATTTAAATTAATAATCAACTTGTGCAGACAGTAGCACGACACGATGAAACCTTACTAAGTAACGTATAAGCACGTCTTTAATTTATTAAAGACAAAACAGCAAGTCTATCTATTTCTCTCTCTTTCGACATTACAACGTCGGAAAAAAAGGATGGACGATGATCTGATTCAAATGAGATGCATAAAGCAAAGAATGATGATGTAAATGAAACTCTGAAAGATGCATTGAGTTGTATAGATACAACAAACCTGAGACGTGGGATCCAAGTTGATGATGATCTGAAGAATCAGGATAATCCAGAAACGAACTTAGCAGAGAAGAGAAAAAAAAACTGAGAGGAGATGTTTTTTTTTGTGGGAGTTATTTTTTTTTGCAGAGAATATAACAGTTTATTGTGAGTTTGACTCTCGGGTTTATAAGAGGATTAACGTGTAGACAATTCTCTCTTTCTCTCTCTCCATGTTTGGATCGGTCGGTGATTAGTTTAATCAATCAGATATAGAGAGGATCGGTTACACCTAGAGACAGATGCTACGTCGTGATCTTCCCACTTCCGTGATTTTTGTAACATTAATTCAAATTTAATATGTCGTGAATCCCCAAAAGCTAATGTAACAAATTAATATGAACGAGAATAATGGTCCATTAAGTAAAATACTATACAGTATATATGGAAACAAATATGTGAAAATTGAGTGGTTATTTACTCTGTATAAAGTAAAAGACAATTTACAAAGGAAGCATTTATTTTGTTACTAAAAAAGAAAATCTAGTAAAAACTTGTTTCTTCCAAATGTGGCAAAAACATATCATGTGTTGGACATTTAGAATCTCACATGGATGTGTCTATAAATCTACAAAGAATATAAGTATATAACAAAATTTCAGTGTGTCATATCCTATGGATTACAAAGTTGGAAGACAAGAGAATATATGTAGCTAAAAAAAAAGAATATGAGATAGAGTCTCAATTTGTGTTCAAAACAAAAAAAGTAAAAAAAAGAGATGGAGTCTCAATTTCAGAGATCATCAAATAGTGAGATCTGCAACAATCATATTGAGAACAGAGTGCAATGATATCCCAAAAAAAATTAGCTCAATAAGTTTTATCAACAGTTAATGGCTCAAGATTCATTAATTATCACTCCATCTATTTGACTCCATTAAAAAAGTTTCAAACATTTTAATGGTTTTGCTCTGTTTATGTGGTGCCCCACTCGAGCGTTGCTAGCCAATTGATCAAATGCATTTTGAAAATGTGCTATGATTCACCTAATGCACATTTGCTTCATATTTTTATTAATCATTCCTCATGAAAAAAATACATAATGTCTTTAAGACTTTATTTTTTCTGATGGTAATAAAGAAAGGCTTGGTCACTTAAACCGTCACTTGCATCTCTGAAGAGGTGCACCACACAAACACTTGTTGTGAAGATAAGCATAAGCATCAAATCTCTGAAGATCCCCTCCCTTGGGGATAGGTCCACACAATCTATTATAGCTAACATTAAATGTCTGAAGACTAAGTTCTGTCCACTGAACAGGGATACTCCCTGTGATCCCATTGTGATTCAAGTCCAAGAGATTAACTGTCTTTGCGACTTTAACCTTTGAGATATCAAACTGGAACATGTTTCTCGATATATCAATAATCCATGTCTTTTTATTGGCACCAAACAACATTGATACATCACCTTTGAGCTTGTTACGAGAAAGATCGATCCTGTAAAAGTCTAGCTTGCCTAGTGACTTTGGTATTGAACCAGAGAGTTGGTTGTGTGATAGGAAAAGGTCAGGGACTTCTCCTGGAAACGAGCCAAATGACTCTGGTATTGGACCTAATGAGAGTTATAAATGTTAATGTTAATAAAAGTACATTTTGATAATTAATAAGATTAATCGATTAATTATAGAGACTTTTTTACCTGTGAGCTTGTTTCTGCTGAGTTCAAGATACCCAAGTTTAGGTAACAAAGCAAGAGAGCTAGGTATGGAACCAGATAGGTCATTGTAAGAAAGGTCTATGTACTCAAGATCCTTGAGCTGGCTAAGAAAATCAGGAACCGGACCGGTCAGGTTGGTCCAGCTAAGCCTGAGGAAACGTAGATATTTGAGCTTGGCGATGGTGGGTTGGATTGGGCCGGTGAGGTTAGAGAGTTTGCGGAAGATGAGTGTTTGCAGATAAGGTAAGTCACCGACTTCAGGAGGGATCTGAGCTGATATCTTGTCGTCTGAAATGTCTAGGGAGGTGACACGGTGGTTAACGGTGGCGTCGCCGCACTCAACGGAGACCCAAGTGCAGCAGTCTTCTTTTGGGTCCCAGGAGATGACGTTGTAAGGGTTGTTAAGTGACTTCTTGATTTTGAGGAGTGTGTTCTTGTCATCTTTGTGACAGAGATTTTTAGATAAAGAGGTAGTGATGAGGAGCGTGAAGAAGAACAAGAAGAGGAGTAGTGTCGTTATCTTAGCCATAGTGAGAGTGTTTTGAGTTTTTTAAGTGGAAACTTGTAATGATTTATAGGCTAGTAACGACCTAATGTAATCAGTAGGAAACATGGTGGTGGGGTTTTTAGGGTTGTACTAATTATATTTGCTGACTAGACCACGTGTTAAACAAGTTATGGACGGTGCGTGTGAACTCGTTGTTCAAATTCCGCCTGGTCTGGTTCAATCAACAGGTTTATTAAACCGGAAGATATATTTGAGTCGAGAGAGTAACTGGGCCTTCATAAGTGAAGCCCATAATAAGAATTATTCACGAGAGTCCACAAATTTAAAATGAGACCCGAAATTCTTTTACGCAAATGCAAGAAAACAACTAGTTACCGTTATTAATAAAAAATAGAGGATAAGTATTTGTCTTTTTTTTTCTTTTGATTAACCTGAAAGTATCCTAGATCTATGGAGAGGTCAAGATAATCTTTAAAGTAAGATACAGTCCATGGATAGACCTTCTCTCTGGATATTCAGATAAATATTTGTCCTTAAATTCTTCTTTGTTCTTCCTCTATTAGTGGTAATATCTACCTTCATCTTCACTTTGAAAATGTTGTAAGAACTCATCAAAACAAGTTGTGATAAATGTATTATTTAATAAAATCTGGATGATATTACATATTTTTTTGGGGGAACCTAGAGATAAGCTTTGTTTTTTTTTTTTACTTGCAACTATCAAGAGGTGCACCACATAAACACTTGTTGTGAAAATATGTATAAGAATCAAATCTTTGAAGACTGCCACCAGTGGGGATGCGTCCACAAAGTCTGTTATAGCTAACGTTTAAGATTTGGAGATTATGTTCAGTCCACTGAACCGGAATACTCCCTGTGATCCCATTGTGGTTCAAGTCCAATACACCAAATGTCTCGGAGATCTCAACTCTAGCGAGATCAAACTGGAGCATGTTTCTTGATAAATCAGTGGAAAACGTAGTTTTGTTGGGTCCAAACAACATCGAAGCATCGCCTGTGAGCTTGTTCCTTGAGAAATCTATCTTGTCAAAATTTATGTTGCCTAGCGATTTGGGTATCGAACCGGAGAGCTGGTTGTGTGATAAGAGAAGGTAAAAAGGTTCTGCTTGAAACGATCCAAATGACTCTGGTATTGTACCTAAGCATCAAAGTTATAAAGTTGAAGTTAAATAAAAAAAAATATACAGTTTAATTAATAATCATATTTTAATCAATGAATCAAAGTTACACCAAGAAAAATAATAGAATCAAAGAGAGTATACTTATTGTACCTGTAAGCTTATTCCTACTAAGATCAACGTAAGCAAGTTTAGGTAACGAAGCGAGAGAGCTAGGTATGGAACCAGAGAGTTGGTTGAAGGCAAGGTTTAAGTAATCAAGATTCTTGAGCTGACTCAGAAAATCAGGAACCGGGCCGGTTAGGTTCAACGAGCTAAGCCAGAGAGAACGGAGATACTTGAGCTTGGTGATGGTTTGTGGGATCTGACCGGTGATGTTAGTGATCTTGTGGAACATAAGGTCCTGAAGATACGGTAAGTCACCGACTTCAGGCGGGATCTGAGCTGATATCTGAGCGGAGAATATGGTTAGGGAGATGACGCTGTGGTTAACGGTGGCGTCGCCGCACTCAACGGAGCTCCACCTGCAGCAGTCGTATGTAGTGTCCCAGTTGATGAGTTGGTATGGGTTGTTTAGGGAATTCTTGATCTTGAGGAGGGTGATTTTGTCGTTTTCGTTACATAGATCTTTCGATGACGCGATGATTATGAGGTACGTGATGAAAAACAAGAAAGAGAAAAGCAGTGTAGTGTTTGTCTTATGATCCATGTTGTTGTGGTGTTTGGTTTTTGAATATTTTTTTGTTGAAAGTGTGACGATGATATATACTACTATAGAGATTTAGATATTTGATTTGATAGAAACCTTAATAGTCAATAACGTATGATCAAGATGTCGGTGTTGAATATATGGTTGGCTGGTGCGAAAATGCTGGCAGTCAACATGTGCCACTTGAGTACTACTACTCTCTCTACCACAGATTTGATTTTTTCCTAAAAAAATATCCATATATGTTTTTATTTGGGTTTACAATTCAATATGAAACACTTAATTTTTATTTTTATTTTGTAAAAACGAAACACTTAATTTTAAGCTTCAACAAATCACATTTAATCTTGATAAAATATAAAAACAATACCCACGAATAGTTTGATTTGGGAAATGACATAAATTTTGCTTTTCTAATATTTCTTGTTTTAAACATTTTGAAAGTGGACGTTGGAATTGAAAAATTAGATGCACCAAAAAAATACACTTTTTTTTTGGAATTAAATAAAAAAATAACGATATTATAGTGGTTGATGGTAATATTATTGATATGACAACATTTGGATTCAGATAAATACATATGGTCAAATAAAACATATTACATGGTTCTGAAGATTGTACTAGAAATTCATCACAGCAAGTTTGGCCGATTTTTTTAAAAAAATCAATCCAAATAAAGATACAATTGTCGATAGACTTATTGGATTATTTGTAGAAGTAGAATAATAATAGCTTGGCTGCTTGAATCTTTCACTTGCAGCTATCAAGAGGTGCACCACACAAACACTTGTTGTGAAAATAAGCATAAGAATCAAATGTTTGAAGTTTCCCTCCATTTGGGATGTGTCCACACAGTCTGTTATAGCTAACATTGAAGAACTGAAGAGGAGCTTCGGTCCACTGAACCGGGATATTCCCTGTGATCCCATTGTGGTTCAAGTCCAAGATACCAAGTGTCTTAGGGATCACAACTCTAGAGAGATCGAACGTGAACATGTTTCTTGATAAATCAATGTACCACGTCGTTTTGTTGGCTCCAAACAACATCGAAGCATCACCATATAGTTTGTTCCTGGAGAAATCAATCCGGTTAAAATCCAGGTTGCCTAGTGATTTAGGTATCGAACCGGAGAGCTGGTTATGTGATAGGTAAAGGTCAGGTACTTTTTCTGGAAACGACCCAAATGACTCTGGTATAGAACCTGCTTGCATGTAAAGTTTCCAGATTTAGAAAGAAAGGCAAATAAGTAAAAAATAGAAGAAAAAAAGTTTAATAAAAGTAAAAAAGAGGAGTTTATTTACCTGTAAGCTTGTTTCTGCTGAGATCAACAGACAAAAGATTAGGTAACAAAGACAGAGAACTCGGTATTGAACCAGAGAGATCATTGAAAGAGAGGTCTAAGAACTGAAGATTCTTGAGCTCACTTAGAAAACCAGGAACTGGACCGGTCAGGTTCGTCCAGCTTAGCCTGAGTGTCCTGAGGTTCTTGAGTTTGGCGATCGTGGGTTGGATTTCACCGGTGAGGTTAGTGAGTTTGCGGAAGACAAGGGTCTGGAGATAAGACAAGTCACCTACTTCAGGAGGGATCTGACCGGAGATCTGACCGGAAAATATGGTTAGGGCGGTGACGCGGTGGTTAACGGTGGCGTCGCCACACTCAAGGCAGTACCATGAGCAACAGTCTGTTTGAGGGTCCCACGAGGCGAGGTGGTAAGGGTTGTTTAGGGCTTTCTTGATCTTGAGGAGGGTGGTTTTGTCATCTTGGTTACATATGTTTTTAGAGAAAGAAGTGGTGAAGAATGTGAACAAGAAGTAAAAGAGCAATGTCGTTGTCTTATCCATGCTGTCGTTGTTTGTTTGTTTTTGGTTATCGACTTCGAGTTTTTATGGTGAGTATAGACGTTGGAGAGTTTTGTTTTGATTTGATCTCTCTGATCTGTCATAGGGACATTCAAAGTCAATGCATATAGACTCAAAGACGTCGATGTTGAATTTGTTTGCGTAATAATGCGCCAAGGACCGAGCCACAAAGATATGTTAATTTATTTTTCTATGAGATCAAATTTGTATACTCGTATTTAGAAAGCGTATCTGATAAATTGGATGTATTAATCTCAGTATATAAATAAAATACCTGTGAAAGTATAGAAAAAAAAAAGTATAATGAAACTTTCAAGGATCATATCATTCAGACAGAATATAAAACTCGTCTGGGGAAAGGAAAAGCTAGTTCTACGAAAAATCGTCAAAAGGCCTAAATAAGGGATAAACTAACCACTAATAACGAACGTAAATGAGGCCCACTTACTTAATTATGGATATCATGAACGTAAATTAGGCCCAATCGGTTTCGTTGCACATAGTTACATTGTACCAATGTGAACCAGAAAAAATGAATAATAAACCAAGAAAATTGGATAATATGTGAGAAGGTCTGCTTTGTAGAGAAAGACAGGTCTAGATAGATTAACAGACGATAATATAGGCCATCATTACTAAGTATCATCATTAGTGGGATAATACAAGCGTACCACTAAAGTTGATTCTTTACAACTTGATAAGTTGGTTCGCAAAGATTGAACGTCTTCATAAAAGAAAGAAACCATTCCAGTTTTATAAAGTTGCGCACCAAGTAATGGTCACACCCAAATGATAACTTTTTCTGATAAAGAACGAATATAAGAATCTATTACAGTCCCTTTTTCTTTTCTTTCTTTCTCTTCCTTTTGGAAGGTTTGGCATTAGGCAACTTATCAACCTATGTCTGTTGATAACAAAGGAAAGTAGAACTCTATACCTTTGTGTAACGCATGATTTTCATGAAATTTGATAAAGAACCGCATGCGGTTAGAGATCAGTGCTATCCGCAGATTACCTAAGAGTAGTAGTCTTTTTTTTGTTGAAACCTAAGAGTAGTGGTTAATCTTATATATTAAAACAAAAATCATGGCTTGACTTCATGTGTAATTTTTTAAAAAATTAACTATCACTAGAAAGTCATGTTATATTAACTCCCTAATAATCTTATCACTATTATATCTTATGAAAAGTTATATCTATAGTAACAAATATACGCTTAACAATTTCGTTTTGATAAATTATTCCACACCTTCCAATTTAATCACGTAAAATCTGTCAATAGATATAAGTTTAGGAATCTTCTATTATTTATAAGAAAATATGTCAATAATAGCTAAATGCATCCATAATATATTAACAAAAATCACATATTCGTAATATGGAATATTTATATACCTTAACAAAGTTTACACGCTATATATACTAGATAAATTTATTTCGATGTAAAATTTTAAAATTATATTGTTTTAAAAAAGGAAATTGTTTAAAAAATTCTTTTTTAATAAAATTCTTTATAATATTAATTTATGAAGCTATAAGTTTAGTTTTTAGCAAAGATTTCTTCGAAATTTATATTAAATTTGCAAATTAAAGTATACTAATATTTAATCAAACTCTATTTATATTAATTTATCTAAAAATGAAATACTAATCTAACAAATAATAAAATATAGAAGAAAAAACAAACATGTAGCAAACATGTATAATATATGAAATTTGAAACAATCTATTTTATTAAAACACGTATTCTATAATATTATTATGTTTGAAAAACATTCACTATACATATCGTAAATATGCGATTACTATATATATACCAATTTACAAGTGAAAACAAAATGTTTATATAACTAATTATAAACGAAAACAAACATCTGCGCGGTTGCGTGGATCAAAATCTAGTATTACCTTATCATTGAAACAAATATTTAATGGTCTAGTTAACTGACGTGAAGAATATACATGGTGATCTGTTTGTTTCTATGAATAGCATTAAATATTCAGTATTCAAAAATGCCAAATTTGGCTTAATAAGTATTTTCACGTCGTATAAATTCTTATCCATTTTGTTTAAGTATAATTCTATTTACTAAATAAATGTTATATTCTAGAGTGCGCTGGTTATACTTATACCTCAATAAGTGCGGGCACTAGAATTTTAAAAAAGGTGGGGGGGGGGGATAATAAGGTAATGATGTTTTTCAATCAAATAATAATCACTCCTTAGCCTCTCTGCCCTTTGGCTTTTTTTATTAAAAATTTCAAAATCTAAAAAGCTAATTTTTAGATGCTTATTCTGATCAGAGAAAAAGAAACACACCAAAGATAATATATATGGTCACATACAGGAAAAGTTGGTGTTATAGAGATCGGCGAGCTTTAAAATATGCGTTTACTTGTTATAATAAAAGACCAATTAATTGGTATGTAGTATACATATTGATTGTGCGAATGGGAATGTGCAAAAAACTTCAGTGATATTGATGCAACAACTACAAGATTGACCAACCTGACGCTTCATGATACTCATAACTAAGACTGATTTGTTTCGTTCACCAATGTCATGAGTGAAGACAAACAATAATCACAAATTTTCTCAGTATGTTCTGTTTTCTGCAAGATTATTTCAATTAAATATGAATTGTAGCATATTAAGTGTGAGAGAATCTACTTATTTACCTTTCTCAGTGCTGCAAAGTTTCTGAATGTACATAAAGATTAAAGTCCAACAAAGAATCTGGTTCTCTATTTAATAAAATGAAAGAATCAGCTTCTCTCTAAAAGAAGAAGCATAAAATATAGAGAGAGTAGGAGAGTTATGAAATTTGCTTTCACTAATTCGTTCTCATCTTTCTCCATCTCATTGACTCTTCTTAAACATCTCTAAGGTGCCTACTTTGTAAACCTCATCCTTCTCTTATTTTGGGTCAAAAACCTAATTCTTTACATATATATTCATATGGTTTATTGTTCTTCAAATACTCTGTGTTTTTCGTTTTTTGGGGACTAATTCTTCACTTTGCATGTTTACAAGATAATCAAACACATTCTTAATTTTCCTGCAAACACTTGAATGAGTTCATGAAAACACAATAAGAGATTGCGTGAAAATTAAGTAACAATCTTATCAATTATATTGCTTGAGATTATAATGAATTACTAAATACCACTAATTAAGTTTTCTTAACCACTAATCATTTTTCTGCTTCTCTTCTTTATGTTAGGTATTGAATCAAAGCAGTTTTTGAAGGAGAAGGAGAATCTTTTGGCTCAAGTAACCTAAAACCATGGCGGCTAAAGATGGAGCAAAGAGCCAAGAAGAATACAAGCTCAAAGACACGAAACCAGACCTAGGAGAGAAATGGCCACACGGAGGACAACGAGGTGGAAGTGGATGGATCAGCAGCGAAAGAGTTGCAAGCACATACGACCTCGTTGAGCAAATGTTTTACCTCTACGTCCGTGTCGTCAAAGCCAAAGATCTTCCTCCAAACCCTGTCACAAGCAACTGCAACCCTTACGTTGAAGTAAAAATAGGAAACTACAAAGGTAAAACCAAACATTTCGAGAAAAGAACAAACCCTGAGTGGAACCAAGTCTTCGCCTTCTCCAAAGACAAGATCCAGTCCTCTACAGTTGAAGTCTTTGTCCGTGACAAGGAGATGGTTACAAGAGATGATTACATAGGGAAAATTGTGTTTGATATGCATGAGATACCTACAAGAGTTCCTCCTGATAGTCCACTTGCACCTCAATGGTATAGACTAGAATCTCGCCGTGGTGATCAAGTTAAGAAGAGAGGAGAGGTTATGGTGGCTGTTTGGCTTGGGACGCAAGCTGATGAAGCGTTTCCTGATGCTTGGCATTCAGATGCTTCCTCTGTTCAAGGAGAAGGTGTTCAAAAAGCGTTAGGTCTAAGGTCTATGTATCACCTAAACTGTGGTATCTCCGGGTTAATGTGATAGAGGCTCAAGATGTTGAGCCTAGTGATAGGAGCCAACCTCCTCAAGCTTTTGTTAAGGTTCAGGTTGGGAACCAGATTCTTAAAACAAAGTTATGTCCTAACAAGACAACGAATCCTACGTGGAATGAAGATCTTGTGTTTGTAGCTGCTGAGCCGTTTGAGGAACAGTTGTTCTTGACGGTTGAAAACAAGGTGTCTTCAGCTAAAGATGAAGTCATGGGGAGGCTGATCTCACCGTTGAATGTGTTTGAGAAAAGATTAGATCGTAGAGATGTTCACTCCAAATGGTATAACCTAGAGAAATTTGGGTTTGGTGCATTGGAAGGAGACAAGAGACATGAGCTCAAGTTCTCTAGCCGCATTCATCTACGAGTTTGCCTTGAAGGAGGGTACCATGTAATGGATGAATCAACTCTTTACATCAGTGACGTGAAACCCACGGCAAGACAACTATGGAAGAAACCTATAGGAATCCTTGAGGTAGGTATCTTGAGTGCTCAAGGGCTTTCACCGATGAAAACTAAAGACGGTAAGGCCACAACAGATCCTTACTGTGTTGCTAAGTACGGACAAAAGTGGGTGAGGACAAGAACCATCATCGAGAGCTTTAGCCCTAAGTGGAATGAGCAATACACATGGGAAGTGTATGATCCGTGTACAGTTATTACACTTGGAGTTTTTGATAATTGTCATCTTGGTGGGAGCGAGAAGTCAAACAGTGGAGCTAAAGTTGATGCTAGAATAGGTAAAGTAAGGATCAGGTTATCAACCCTAGAGGCAGATAGAATCTACACTCACTCTTACCCTCTTCTTGTGCTGCAAGCAAAAGGGTTAAAGAAGATGGGAGAGGTGCAATTAGCTGTGAGATTCACTTGTCTGTCTTTGGCTCATATGATCTTTCTTTATGGCCATCCTCTGCTTCCAAAGATGCATTATCTCCATCCCTTTACTGTGAACCAACTAGACAGTCTTAGATACCAAGCAATGAGCATTGTCGCGGCGCGGTTATCTAGGGCAGAGCCTCCTTTGAGAAAAGAGATAGTAGAGTACATGTTAGATGTTGATTCACACATGTGGAGCATGAGGAGGAGCAAAGCTAACTTCTTCAGGATAGTCTCTGTGTTCTCAAACTTGATAGCTATGAGCAAATGGCTTGGAGACATTTGCTACTGGAAGAATCCATTGACAACAATATTGTTTCATGTTCTCTTCTTTATATTGATTTGTTATCCAGAGCTGAACCTCCCAACAGCATTCCTCTACATGTTCTTGATAGGTCTCTGGAACTTCCGGTTCAGGCCTCGTCTTCCTCCTCACATGGACACAAAGATCTCATGGGCTGAAGCTGCTACCCCCGATGAGCTAGATGAGGAGTTTGACACTTTTCCGACATCAAAGGGACAGGATGTTGTGAAGATGAGGTATGATAGGTTAAGAAGCGTTGCTGGTCGGATTCAGATGGTTGTTGGAGACATTGCAACGCAAGGGGAGAGGTTTCAAGCACTGTTGAGTTGGAGAGATCCTCGTGCTACTTGCTTGTTTGTGATGCTTTGTCTTGTTGCTGCGGTGATCTTGTACGTGACGCCTTTCAAGATAGTAGCTCTTGCGGCTGGGATGTTTTGGATGAGGCATCCTAAGTTTAGAAGCAAGATGCCTTCTGCTCCAAGTAATTTCTTTAGGAAGCTGCCTTCAAAAGCAGATATGATGCTTTAAATGGTCTTTCTTTGTTTGAAACTTATTACGTGTTTTATTGTTGTGTGTGTGATTTATTATTTACTCTTTTAATTGTTATAACGTTTTGTATTTCACACAATGTATTCCTTTGGTATCAGTTAGCTTTTTGGTTATATTATCCCATAATGTGTTGTTGGGTTTAGTCTAAAAGGAAAAACTAATGGGCCTAGTAGTTAAAATTTGTGATCATAACTCGCTGTAAGCTTGTAAGGACTGAATGAAACGGTCAGGTCAGGACACACACCACTAGTGATGCTCTGACATACATACTTCACTTAGCTTGAGTCCACAATTAAATTTAAGTTTAAAAGTTCATACATTATCCAATTGTTGGTGCAAATCGAATCAATCTCGTTTTTAGCGGTGTATAATAGTAATAAAATTTTGTTTCTGGTTTGACTGACCACCGTATAAAAGGGTAAAACAGGTGACAGCAAAGATTGAATGAAAAAGAGGGCGTTGAACCCAAAGCAAAACGGTACTGATCCCAAGTCCCTGACAGTCTCTTACAGAACTCACCATTTGTCACCTTCCTAACTGGTCAATGCTTTATTTTTTTGACCTAACCATCCCACTAGATCTCTCTTTCTATCTGTCCTCTCATTCTTGCATGCAATTGCAAAACTGTTGCCAGCCTTACTCTTCTCTTCTTTCTTTTTTGGAACATTAACCTTCTCTTTTGTAAAAAAAAAACTTCTCTTTTGTTCTCTTTCCATATTATTTCACATTCTTTTAGAAAAACGAGTTATCAGTATGTATGTTCTTGTGTTTGGAATCAAAAGATAAGTCTTAATGTCATATGCACAAGGAGGAATTAAAGGTAAGGACTTGTCTATCATCATCTGCATCTTTTAAACATATACTATATAATAAAGTTTTGTAAAAAAAAAGACTCCAAACAATTTTCCTAATTAAGGTCTGTAGATCGAGAGGCAATAATATATTATAAAGAAGTCAAACTGGCTAACTAATCAACCTATTCTCTTGCTCTTTTTTTTAATCATCCGTCTTGGCGTGGACGGGCTAACCAGAGAGAACTTAGAGCCTGAAGACGGTGGAAGTACTCTGCAACGGCTAGAATACAACGTGCTTCTTGACGTGTCGTCAACAATTGGTTCAATCTATGGATTGTTTGGTGCCTCAGATTATCCGCCTGTAAGTTTTTATTGTATTAGTTCAATAACTATACAAATAAAAAGAAAATGGAGTAATAGTCAACGCAAAGACAAAACATCATGGACAAAACTGCGTTCATGTTATTTATTGACTAAAACGAATTAAAATCTAAGGGCAATGAACTGAATATATATGGACCATCACTAATATATCATAAATCGAAGATAAATAGACTAATTAGTAGGAAAAAGGATATTACGAGTTATTCTAACAAGTCTAATAGTCCATTAACATCATGTTATCTTTGGAAGAATTTGAATTATCAATTACACGACCCGAAATTATAAGGTTGATTGACGATTAATGCCAATTATTCAATGTATTCATGATCGAACAAAAATCAAAGCGTGAATTGTCAAAAGGTGAAACCGTGATTTCCATCCCTAGGTCCCACGCCATGCTTCATAATACTTTTGGTTAATAATTAGATAATTAACTATATGGTATAATTAGAAATGCATATAAGTAATGATATAAAAAAGGATGCCCGAAATTATGTAGAGACAAAAAAACGGGATCGAATATAAGTAAAGGAGATGATACTTGGGCAGTTACACCCATGACATCATGAACGATATGGGCTCCAAGCAATCCATGTTTCCATTTCATCTAAAATATATATATGTATTTGCTTTTGGCCTATAATTAAACATGTGAATATACAAGTAATATATACGTTCGTGGTGGCAATTTTTTTTTTGTTTTTAGAAGTTTGTATCTATGTCCTCTTTTAGTAAACTAACCCCATATTTACCACCTCTTTTGGAGTTGGCCCTTTCTGTTTTTGTTTTAAGAATATTATTTACTAGTTGTTCTTTGGAGATGAAAGGTAATTGTAAGCGTGTAGATGTAGCTAAATACTAACAAATGCATAAGAATATTAAGATGTTATTAAAATGAAAGAGGCCACTTTGTTTATGCATGAATGCCCTTTTAAAAAACATGCATGAATGTTACATAATATTAGCCTAAATGGCCATTTGCATATATAGTATATATAGGCTGTTACATCAATAGCTTATACACAAACATATCTATAATTTGTTTTCATGGACCTGCCTGTTCTAAACTAGAAAATATTTAAATAAATATTAAATTAAATAAATCTAATTTTCTAAGTAAGCAACCCGACCAAGTTGATATACGACAACTAGATGTGTTTGTTAGATACCTACTTACATAATATCAGAATCAAGATGCTAATTACTTTTCATTTCTCATTTTTTCACACATAGACACACACATATATAATTAATGTTTGCAAATTAGTTTAAATATTCGCTTATAGTCTTCCAAAAAAAATTTCAACCACTATATTACTAATGTCCTCTAACCAATTAAGACCGACTGTTTACCTATATACATATATATGAGCTATACACAAACATACAAACATCTATATAAATGTAGATAGCGTGTTAGAACAACCAACTTTATATGAATATATGATATATAGTACTGTTTAATACGGAGTGGTTCAAAGAATCAAAATATGTAAATCCTAGTCTGATTAGGACCACCGCCCTCGGGGTCCACTTGTATATCATATTTGATATATAAAGACTTTTATAGGTATGTTTCGTATAAAATTAAACTATAAATACAAAGAAAAGGATTAGAGTGTACCTGGAGAACGAAGCCCTCGAGAGAAGAGAGTTTGTTAAGAGCTAAGGACATGTGTGACATGAAATTGGATAGATGAGGAGGAAGTTGTGCAGAGGCAGGCGAGAGAGAGTCGGAAACAATGCTGTCAGAAAGCGATTGATTCAATGCCTCGAGGCCTTGAGAGAGAGCCTCTTCGGCCTCGTGTGTGGACTGTTGCAGCCCACAAATCCCAACTATCTGTTGTTCTGTCAATGGTTCTATTTGGTTCACAATCACCTGCAAGTGTTTCAAATTAGTTAGCACGCATGCATGATGCATGTAGTTACAAGCTTGGGATAACAGTCTAGAATGGATGCATGAATAAAAACGTTGAATGCATTAAATGTTTAGTGTACTATGCACAAGCTACTAGCTACACCCAAAAATCTCTTCTTTCCTTTTTGTTTTCACTAAAAAGGACATAGGATTGAGACATTGCCAAAGGTCTCGTTAGTTACGCACACCATACATATTACTATTAGAATAAAAGATGGGTTTAAAAGACGGGATTATCTTATAAAAAGTAAAACACGACAATCATTCAATTACATTAAAAAAAAAAAAAAATTTAGGAAGCATATTGGTCCGAAAATAAATGTTTGTTTGTTGCTTTATTTATTTTCTCTCCCTTTTATATATAGGACCACATCTCGAAAAATCAGACAACCACTTTCTTTTACATTATGCAAAAACCTAACCTTTACTAGAAATACTTCACCATCACACAACTGCATGAATTCTTTATCTTACAAACATCATTTACGTGTACCTTTTTTGTAACAATTTTACGTATATCTTACAAAAATCATTTTACGTGCACCTTCATTATTTACCTTTAATAAGGACATATATACACGCATATAGGTTGCCATATATAGGGCACCCCATGCATCGTTATGTATATATACCTCGTCAACAGTATCACTATACTCTATGTTTGTCTATTACCGTACCCTCTTCTAAGAGAATCAAAGACAAAAAACCTTTTTTAAAAATAAACAAGAGAAAATCATTTTTGATTAATTATTTAAAGTTAAAAGTAATATATTCATGCACAATGTACGTTAAAATAATAAATGTCACTAATTTAGTCATTCAATATTTTTCTGCAAGTAGTCCACATAATTTCATAATGTTCAATGATTGAACAGGAATTTGGATTAGTCTAGTGTATACGATAGGATTTTATATATTCCAAAAAAGTTATTTTCTAATGATCCACACGTTGATTAGTTTACGATATCACATATTCACATGACTAATTTAGACACATCTTATTAAACGTTAGCTAGTTTTGTGATCTTAATTTGTATGAGGGTGCACCACAAGTAGAAAAATAAATAAAATATATAAGAAAACCATGTTTATATGTACCTTGATAATCTCAGATGGGCGGAAACCACCCATCCACAAGAAGCAACGCTCGGCTGGTGTTTTCCAAGCGCCAGAAATGAGGTGGAACACATCGGTCTTAGCGACCATGGCCTTGAGGTTAATCAAATGATCATAGTGAGCTAAACAAGTGTCTACAAACATCCTAAGCTCGTTCTCGGCCAAATGCTCTTGTGTCGCCACCCTTAGTTCGGCTAACAGCCTCTGCTGCTCCTCCAGCCACCTCGTGTACTCCATATCGAACACTGCTGCTTCTGCTACACGTTGCATTTACTCACTTATCCTCATTTTTGGGTTTCAAGGGTTTTTACAGTCATATACATGAAATTGTTACGTACCAGAGCTCGTGTAGCCAGGACCAATAGGCAGCCCACCTTGCTGTTGATCTCCTCCCATAAGAGACCCTCCATAGAATACGCCCTAACCATCAGAAAAAATAATAATAAATTTTAGACTTTGGGTGAAATAATTAATTATATATAGACTTATATGGAAAGATAAGTAAAATTATTTACTTGGGATCTGGCTCGTTGAATCTCTTGTTCTAGTTGGGTCAGCTTAATCCTACATGACTCGAGTTGCTGAACATAAGCCTGTCATAATTTACCAAAGTACATAGCGTCATCATAAATATCATTCTTTAATTTCAGAAATTATAATCGCAGTTTACATATACTCATGATGAAGTGTATAGATGCTGACTTTTTTTCGTAATCTGCTTTTCCTTGCTGCTTCTCTGTTCTGTGCTAGTCTCCTCAATGTCTGTTGTAAAAAAAAAAAAAATTTATAAAGAAAAGAAACGATACTATCAAAGACAAAATAGTAAACTTTCATTTTAATTTTATTTATTTATATATGATAACAGTACTCACCTTAGGGTCTGATGATTTTGGTGTGTCATGGTCTGATGAGGCAAGACCCTTGCGGTTCCCCTCTTTCTGCCATAACATATATTTATGACTCATTAACTTATAAAACGACTAGACCAGGTCTAAGAGTAAATTCCATTTATGTAGCAACAAGGCAACTAAATAATTTAAAAGAAAAGAAGATAAAAACCTTGATTGATTTAGAAGGTTGGGGAAGTTGAAAGTGAGCATGATTGGTCGTCAAGTCCATGGACGGCTCAGAAGATGGTCGAGTCGAACCACTAGGTGCAGCAGCTTGAACCAATCTTGTATTATCAGTCTTACCAGACACATTATAAACAAACAAACAAACAAAAAAGAATCAAACTCAGTAGCCATTAGAAAAATGAGAAACTTATAATAATTGGCCTGACTAGATATTATATGAAATAGCTAGTAGTTGCGCTGACATTATATTAAAGTAGATACATAAACCAACTAAAATGGAACATATAGAGAAAAATATAGTAATTATTATTACATTTGATCTAGAAGAAGAAGGAGGCGGCTCTATGTGCATCGGCTTAGATGGGAAGATGTTGAGCGTTGATGTTGGAGGTCTCATAGCCAAATTCTCTGCCATATAAGATATATATGAGTCATGTGATGTATGTGGAAATGGTCTGGTTGTGTATATATAATATGTGAGTGGACTAGTTCTAATTAATAAGAAGAAAAAGGAGAGAGAGAGAGAAAGGGTTTAAACAAGAGTTTGAAGTAAAAGGGATATGGATTGAAAGATTTGCTGTCTGAAAAGAAAGGATCTGGTCAAAGCTGAAAGTATAGTACTGATGGCAGAAGAAAGATTGAAATCTGTTTGGCATGCTTTTACTGTGACCTCTCTCTCTCTCTCTCTTTACAAGGGAATCTTCCTAATCTGCTAAAACAAAACCAAACCACAATTCCCAAAAAAGAAAGGACAGAGAGAGAGAGAGAAAGAGCATACGAGTTGTGTGATGATGAGGTAAAGGAGCAGTTGATGGAGGATCGACATGATGTCCTTGTCCATCAAGATAGAGGAAGAGTGATGGGTCTATCTCTCCAAGATCATATCCATCTTTGTTTCTGAAACATATAACATAAAAAGCTCTTAATTAACTTCAGGATCATCAGTTTCAAAACGTTTATGACTTTAGGTCTAAAAGACTCTTTAGGTTATTACATGAAGTTTCCATTAGAAGACGTGGCTGAGGCTGATGATAACTGTTGATGATGATTCTGGTGATGACCTTGCATCGAATGATGTTTGAGCGAGTGTGATAGCAACAGCTGAAAGATGATGATAGAAGAGAGATTGATGATCTATCTCTTATGTTGGTCTTCTCCTGAGGCAGCAACCTATGATGATGACGGTGGCTTTTGATCACTAGGTGATATCTTCTTAATTCTTCGTGTAATATATAACTATTATTTATCTTTATATTCTTAGAAAGAGATAGAGATTATGTAACGGAGCATTTAATGCTACTTTTGGTGTTTACAGAGAGAAATATAGAGAGAGGTCGGTTTATATTGATATGGAGAGGGTTCAAGACTTTAGGATATTGGAGAATTATGGAGAGATTGGAGAGGAGAAGCAAAAGACAAACTCCTTTATTTTCTATTTTTCTGATATTTTTGTGCTTTTTCTAATTTATTTCTGTTGCTTTCTTATTACAATTCAATAAATTGTCTACCTTAAAATATTAGAAGACGACTTTTTTTTTTGTCTAAACCCAAGAAAAATATTCTGATAAAGCGGTCAAGAACATGTCCTTTTCCACCCCTCTTTCTCTAGAAAAATTAGCTGATAACAAACTAGTATAAATATTTTTTGTTTGGTTTCTAAAATTATTAATTTATTCTCCTACTGTTCAACTATATTCTTCAAAATATTAGATTTTAAAAATACAGTATGTAATTTTCAATTCCAAGAGATATCATATTATAAGAAGACCAATTAGAATACTAATGATCAATTAACAGGTCTTACTTTCAATGGATAAGCCACTTGAGTATGAACAAGTAATTAATTGATAGTAGATGGTTGCCCGCAAATTCGCAAATATAAATATTGTATGAAAACATATATTATGTATACAATGTCAAAAATTTAAAATAATAATTAAAAACTTTGAAAAATATAAATTTTAACTTCAAATAGTTTGATAATCAGTCGTAAAATTTCCATAAATTTAATGTAAATTAAAAACAAATGAATATTTAGTAATAACAATTACTTGTGGAATTATATATCTAATTATCACATGAACTTCTCTAATACATATTATTCATTTTATATGGTTTCTTCTTCTTTTTTCACGTTATCCTTTCGTTCTTTTATAAAATTTTGCTAATGTTTTCCTAATTTTTTTACATATTCTTTTGTCAAATATTTATTTATCTTTAAATAATAATAGAAAACATACAATCATTGAACCAAAAATTCATCTTCGAATTATTTTCAATCATAATATTATCTTATTCAATATATTATTTAACTTTAATGCAAAAAAAAATTTCAATCAAAATTTTTACATGTTCGTTAAATATAATCCGTCTAATCTTCAAAGATTAACTATTTACAAATATACACTCATATGGTATTAATAATTATTAAGATACGACTATATTTTTATATGAATATGAAATCATTATATTGATTGCTATAATTTTTTATATTCATTTTATGTAGTATATAAATATAAAAAGAATTAATCAAACATTATTACGCTTTCTATAATTTTAGAAATTAGCTACCGTTAATTTTATAATAATTTATATACTATGAAAAATTTAAACTCATGCACTATAAACTCGTTTTATGATTCTTATTAGTTATTATAATGTCTATGTATCAAAATTATATATTTTATTTATGAATATTATGACTTATATAAAAAAATAAAAGTATTTTTACCGCTGTTTATAATAGAAAAATAAAATTGATAAACTAGTTTTATCAACTATTTTTTAAATATACTTTATCTAATTGTAAAGAGACTGTAAAAAATATTATATAAAATTTTCATAATTTCTACAGTTAAACATTATAAATGATTATGCATAAGATTATATGCATTGTTTGATAACTAACATTAATTGGTTCTAGGATTGTCTCTTTTAGATTTGATTAAAATAAATAAAAATTATAAATCATCAACCAATCAAATTATAATATATTTCTTAAATTTTATATATGATTGACATATAAGCAAAATAATTAAATATAATATATTATGATATCTAACTAACTGTTCCATTAAAATTTGTTTATGTGCATAGGCTTGGTTTCTGGTATTAGCTTATTGATCTAACTAACCAACTCATCAAAAACCCATAAATAATTTTAACCTGTCACGGACCGTAGTAAACTGATTCGGTTAGTTAGAAAACCGGACTCGGTTTATTTGATGGTACCTGTGATTGAATTGATGCGTTTCTCTTTGGTCTTGACGAAGCAAAAAACCTTATTGAAGTGAAAGACTTGGGGAGAGCTCGATAAATTGATCTTCAACAGAGAGCGTGAAAGTCGTGTAAGAAAGGGAAGATGCAGAGCCAAGACGATGTTCGTAATCTTCCCATTGACATCACCTTCTCTCGTCTCGGCGGTAATGCACAATCTCAATTTTTGTTCTGTTTTATTTTGTGTGTTGTATGTTTGAATTCGAATCTGTTTTGGAGATTATAGTCTTTAATTTTAATATTAATTTTTTTGTTTGATTCGAAGAGTGGTTGGTGGATCGGAAGAGAATCCCTGCGGATTGGAGGAAGAAGGTTGCTGCGATCAGAGTCAAAATTTCGAAAGAGTTCTCTTCTTTGCCTAAAGACATCGATCCTTACTTTCAAACCCTAGATCCTGATGGTAACTCTTGTCTGAAAAAACCGAAACTTTGTTAAAAATATTGTCTTTATCAGTTTTGCTAGCTATCACTTAAACTTAAAGTGTTAGTCTTTGTTTCTGAAAATGCCAAAGAGCTTTGCTTTTGCATCTTTAGTGACCGTTCTTTTACTTGCAGCGATTGGTTACTTGGAGGCTAAAAAGATATATGAGATTCTCCTCAAGACAACTCCGGAAAGCCGGAACATCTTTGGTCGGCTTTCAGGTGCTTCTGTAAGTAAAACTCCCAACTTTTCTTGTTTTCATTGTGTACCTGTACAGTATATGATCTGTTATTTTCTTACTTTTTAGGGTGTTTGGGAAGCAATTGTTCGTGCGTTTGAAAAAGATCACATTTATCTTGGGGAGGCAGCTCAGATAATTATTCAGAATGTCAATTACGAAATGTAAGTTGATTTCTTCTTACATCAATGTCTCTCTTCTTTAGCATTTTGCCTGATGATGATTATTGCACAATATGAAGCCCATATCTGAAAAAGCAAGTGCAAAAGGTTCAGCAACAGATGACGGAACTTGATCGTAAAGAAGCTGATATCAAAAGAAGTGTTGCACTCTCAGCAACCAAGTACGAGGAAGCTTGCCGAGAGCTTGGATTGCAGGTTATTGTTTTAAACTTGGCTTGTCTTGGCTTCATCCATAGGTTTTAGAAGCATCACATAAAGTTCAAACTTTTTTTTAATTTTGAAGGGAAACAATGTGAGACGTGAGCTTTTGGAGACTGCAAATTCGCTTCCAACCACCTTTGCAAAGATTTTGGAAGTTATCAACAGTGACTCAGTATCAGGAGCAATGGAGTACTACTCTGCTTATGTTAAAGATGTTCATACTGAGAAAGATGTAAACTCTATTCTCTCTCTCTAAATTTTTTGTTTCCTTTTGTTCTGAAGATTGAACTGACCAGCTTCTGATCTGTCTGCAGAAGCCTGCGAGGGTTGTCCTAGAAAATTTGAAAGATATTCGCGAAAATCCTCCGTCATTAAGTGTTCTAGGGGCCTTTGAAGCTCTTGATGGTGAGAATAATCAGTCATCTGAGAATGCAAATGGAACAGATGTGGCTGCAGACAGCATCGATTGGGATATTACACTTGATACCGCTGAGATAGATTGGGATGTTAGTATGGTAGAAGAAGTCGATAGTGGAAATGATTTAGGTTCATATGAAATTGTCAATGCCAGTGATATTCAGGAGAATGCTCCATTTAAAGTGGAAGAAGGCCAAGGCCCTGAGGTTGATGTTTCTGAGATTTCTTGGGATGTAAGTGTTGAAACACCTCAGGTAGAAGAGATAGCTGATTCGGCTTCGATAGAAACAGGCCAGGAGAATCAGATACAGTCTACAACTCAAGTCTTAGGGAGTGGAGAAGAGAGGAGCCAGTTGTTGGAGACGGAATATAGGAACAAGATCCTTGATGATTTGTATGAGGTACTCTTTTCGCTGACTATATAATCCTCATAGGAACCTTGTGGATGTTTCTTCCGTGATGTTGTTTCTCTTCGTTTCAGGTAAAGGCATTTTTGAACCAGCGTTTGATAGAACTAAGAAACGAAGATACTTTGTCCCTGCAACACCATGTGCAAGCAGTTGCACCCTTGGTTCTTCAGCAGTATTCTCCTGAAATCATTGAGCCAATGGTGGTTGACATCTCCATGGCCATTTCATTGCTAACAAACAAGAAAACTCGGGACCTGGTCATGATTCTCAACTCCAAAAGGTACTTCAGGGCTAAATAATCTCTGACAGTGTATCGAAGATCTTCTGATATATATGTATGATTGTGGTACAGATTCCTAGAAAGGCTTGTTTCGGAGCTGGAGGAGAAGAAGCACCGTGAAGTGAAGTTAAAAGAGAGCTTGAAAGATGTGGGTAGGAGACGCATGGAGCTTCAAAATTCTCTCTCTTCTATATGGCCAAAACAGGTGAGCTCATCTTGGTCTCTAACTCTCTATCAGATAGCATGTTCTCAAAAAACATAGGTTTTACTTGGCTGAAGTGTGTATTGAGATTTGAGGTTTGAGACTGAAGTGCTAGATACGCTAGATTGTATCAGAAAAAAAAAGAGCTTAACAAGTTATGTTTTTGTTAATGATTACAGGAAGCTGCGCTTGTGAAAACAAGAGCACTGAAGGAACTATGTGAGACAAGTCTCTCTTCCATATTTGACGGCAGACCTGTGAATATAAGAGGAGAGATCAATACTCTGTTGAACGCTGGGGTTTCTGCTTAGTGTTTGATCTTTTGTATTGGCTAGAAAACTTTAGTTTCAGACTTTTTCTTCCTACAGAGGGATTCTGTCTTGTTTCGAACTCTTTTTTTCCTTCTATGGTATACTAAAGAAACTTCCTTTTACAATGACAAGTTTATTATTATTTCAGAACTGTTCTTTTGAAAGTAAGAAAAAAGATCAGTTGGAGATGTGGCTGAAGGTAGGTGAGGAGAGGAAACGTGTGCGTGTTGAGCAGAAGGATTTACTAAAAGGGTCAATCTCCGTCTTGTCTGCTACGCTGCTTGCTTCCTTGTTCTGTTTCTGTATGAGTGCAGTGAGTGCTTCCACTATTTCTGAAACCGCTGGTCTAAACTCCTTCTCTGCCTGCTTATGGAATGAAATGATTTTAGTTATCGTATTTGTAATGATGATCATGAATGAAGAAGGCTCTTGACAGTTTTACCTGAGTGCATAGGGAGATAATGTCTGCGTAGTGTGAGGCGACTCTTGAGGAGAATGTGCCGACTATGCCTTGATCAATCATCTGTTCTAAGCTTCGCCTGTCATGAAGTCTGGTTGATGCCCATTTCACCAGTAGCTGTTCTCCTTGGGGTCGCGAGCTGCAAATAGTTCGACCAACTGGGTCAAATTCCTTGGCTTTATGTATTGCACCCAGCTAAGTACTTGAAATGCTTGGTACCTGTCAAATGCTTTCCTTCCGGTTAACAGTTCCAAGAGTAGCACACCCAGTGCAAAAGTGTCGCTCTTTATGCCACTGCTTCCTGGTTGTCCATGCTCTGGTGCTATGTAGCCAGTGTTTTGTATCGCTATCTCTGAAGCCTGCTCCAAATGTCACAGTTCATTAGGTATCAGTCGAAAGAACTAAGTGGAGACACAGATTATACCGTTTTTTACTTACCCGAAGCTTGACACTGTTGCTTGTAAGTGGCCTTAAACTAGCAAGCCCACAGTCAGCAATACGAGGTGTAAGTTCTTCGTCTAGCAAAATGTTTGTTGCTTTCAGATCGCTATGGGCAATAGGAAGGCTAAACGACGAGTGCAAATAGCTGAAAATTTAGATTCACCACATAAGTGACGTGTCAAAATAAATCCATGAAAAGAATAAGCTACTATTAATGTTTGAGAAGATAAAGGATACTCACTCCAGAGCTCGGGCAACTCCAATAGCAATGCGGAGACGCAAGCCCCATGAAAGTGGCTTGTATACTTGGTCATGCATAGCATTGTACAACGACAAATGCCCAACATACTCATAGACAAGAAGGTGCTGCCCATTATCGATGCAGAAACCGAGAAGAGTCACAATGTTTGGATGTCTTAGTTTGGAAGCTGTCTGCAGCACTTCAGTAAATTTTTCCTCTTCATTTAAAGACAGTGAAGACATTGGGATGTTTCTCACAGCGGCAAACTGTTTTACAGAAAACATCAGTGAATGAGAAATGTATAATGAAAATTTCTCATTTGATTTTTCGAAGAGAGAGAGAGTAGAGAAGATATATACTTGACCATCAGGCAACTTTGCTCTGTAAACAGAACCAAGAGGACCCTCTCCAATAAGGTTTTCCTCACTGAAACCGTCAGTTGCCTGTTGAAGCTCTGCAGCTGAGAAAAGCTTTGCATACGCTGGATATTGGCATGAAGCAGAGAAGCTTTTTCGTCCTCCTGTCTTCTCGATTCTGACAGGTGGAGGAGGTACACGTCTCAGTTGAGGAACTGGCGGTGGCCGGACCCTTTTCATCAGTGGGTTATCTTCAGGTGCAGCAGAAAATTCTGTTACATGAAAATGTAAGAAAATCAGTAATGAGGAATCAGAATGGCAATAGTGACAATGAGAGGAAAGAAAGGCATTAGTATCACCTCGGCCTGTACTGATTGGAAGAGTGTACACTGTGCTATTGTTGCTTCTGTGACTAGCGGCAAGGTTTTGTGCTCGTCGACGACTCATTCCAACTGCAAAAAATGCAAAGAAAGTTCCAAGCAAAGCCACTCCACCAACCAGTAAAACGATACTCCCTGCTCCTATGCCCTTCTTTTTCTTCGTTATAACCTTCTGAGGTCTGGGAAAGTTCATAATGGCACTGGACTCCGTAGTTGGATAGCCAGTAGCATTTTGAATCATAGGTATGACGTCCAAAGGGAATTTCCACGGTTTATAGTTGGGCTCTACATGGAACTTGTTTCCCCAAATCCTGTTCGGTAAAACACCATAAATAATCATGAGCACTATGTGTCTGAGGCAAATTGTTTTAGACGAGGGGAGTAGTGAACTCACCACAGATGAGGAATGGACTGGAAATGACTTGGGATAATACCACTGAACTGGTTATCTTCGATATTCCTGAGAACATGTGTGAGAAGAAGCGTTTTGAGATAGATGAAATAAAGGAAGCTCAAGGAAATACAAAATCAAAGCACAGAGAGAGAGTAAACTACAGGTCGGTTAAAGGTAGATCCGAGAGATAGATGATTGATCCGGTAAACTTGTTGTTCTGGAGGTACCTGCAGTTTTGTTATCACAGAAGCAAAAACATTATTTAGGTTACACCTACGTGCAGAATAGCAGATTACAAATCAAATTCTCAGATACTTACAGTGAAGTCAGATTCATTAGAGATCCAAAAGAGCTCGGTAGATCTCCCGTCAGGTTATTGAATGACAGATCCCTGGCAAAGCCAATAACTTTTAATAGTTGGTTATCTACATATCGTTATGAAAGGCTAACATAAATGAACGTAAGACTCACATTTCTTTAATCTGTAACCCAGAGAACACATTGCCAAGAGGTCCAGATAAAGAGTTATGGCTCAAATTCCTACAAGAAAGAGGAAGCTGCTACTTAGAAAATCAGTTAAAAAAGAAGGCAATGCATTGAATAAGCCACTTACAGGGACACAAGAGCTGTCATAAGAGGTAAGGAAAAAGGGAGACCCTGGGTCAGATTGTTATACGCCATGTTTCTGTAATCATCAAACAAAGAAGACACTCGTGAATTACACTGCGGTGTAAAAAAGCCTAAATGATGAACGAACTTTGGATTAAACGCTTACATGTGAGTAGCATTTGGAGGCAAACCAAACGGAATTTCACCTTGGAGATTATTGAAGCTAACATCCCTAATACAAAGGAACAAAAAATAGTATTCAGTGATTCAAAGTCTCAAGATGAAGTTAAACAATCAAAGAACAAGGAAGTTTGCTTACAAGTTCTTCAAATTGTGGAGATCTTGAAGCTGGTTTCCAAGATTTCCCAAAAGCTCTAACCCTTGTAGTTGTCTGCGATATCATGAATCAGATTATCTTCTTCGAACTATGACGAAACTGAAGAAACTTACAGTTCTAATACAGACGATCCAGAACAGAAAACTCCCATCCAGACTTCTCCACATGGATCTCCACCCTCCAGTTTCCATCCTCTCAGTTGCGGGGGATTGTTCAGCGACTTGTAGACATCTTGTAGAGCCGAAACTAACGAAGAAACAATTACATGATCAAATAACAGCCAAGAAAGTGCTCATCGTTCCAAAGTAAGCGTACTAAGTCATGCTCAATTATATAAAGCAATTCAATGATCAAGTAACAGCCAAGAAAGTGTTTCTATCCCCTAGATATTAACTACGAGTTCGTTCCAAAGTAAGCGATTCCATTAATCAATCCTCGTTCGCAGATTTGAGAATTAGATGAGAAAATCTGGAAGTTACCTTCAAGCGGATCAGTATCGGTCTCAGCCAGCACAAACAGCATCACCGTGAGCATAACTGCAGCGAGGCATCGCCATTGCTGCTTGATCGTCATCTCCAAGGGTCTACGTGGCAGCGATGGTGCTTAGATGCAGAGAACTGATACTTTTAAGCTCCCTCGAACGAAAGAGAGAAGAGTTTCTCGTACTTTCTCGCACTTTCTCTCTCGCCTTTTCTCGGAAACCAAACAGAAAAGAAAATCCGCAGGAGAGAAAAGATCAAAAGAAGGGCGCGCGCTCTAGAGTGAAGAGGAAACAAAAGCATACACGCGCGAATATTCCACGTCAGCAAAAAAAGCAGTTACGGACGTTAGAGTCAACAAGTCAAACCATATATCATCCCCTCGCTTTTGCCACGTGGCCGCACATTTCAAAGAGTAAAAATTTTCCAATAAATGAAGAGTGATCAATCAATGTTAAATAAAACTCCTATAATACAAGCTTTTTTAAAGACTAATCAAACACAAGACTAAGATGATTTACTTGTTGTTACATCTCAAAGAAGCTGTCTCCTCTTCAAATCCTCCAAATACTTAGGCCCATCAGGATGACGACTCACAAAATACCTCGCAAAATCTTTATCCGAACACGCAAGCAAAGTACTAACCGCAAGCTTAGGATCCGCTTTGCCTCTTTCTTTAAGCCAACCAAACATAGCAAACCTAACCTTCATCCTCTCAAGAGTAAACTTCAAACACGAAGGAAACGCCACCAAAGTCGAAAGAGGGTAACCTAACTCCTCCACAAGGTACTTAACCTTTGCTCCCAACACATCACTCGCCTGCGTGAGTATATTAGGAGATGCCTTCACCATCTCTTTAACATCTTCCTCATCTAAACCTAAGCTAACAAGAACGTTGAACCTCTCTCTGAGTTCAGAACCTCTCCCACGGAAACTCTTGGCCGCTCTCTCCATCTCCTCTGAGTCTTCTTTGTATCCGAGGTCTAGCAAGAACTGAGTCTTCATCGCTTTTGAGTCTAAGTACACTTCTGTAGCTGGTAAGGGTTGGACTTTTGAACCCATTGTCCATTTCTTCATCTCTTCTGGATTCTCTTTAACGACATGACAAACTCTTGTTTTGTAAGCCTTTAAGTTAACGAGTAAGCTACTTGTTTTCTTCAACGTGCATGAACTGATCCACCACGAGTGAGAGCGGAAGACTTTGCGTATTTCTTCGTCTTCCATGTCGATCTCTTTTAAGAACAAGAAGCATCTTCTTAGATTCGAAACGCATTTCTCTACTTGTATCTGAGGGAGTTTTAGA